AGAAATATCTCTGTATATCTACATGTTTATGAGCGCAGAAAAAGACACCAGCAATCCCTAACCATCATGTAAAACATACAGGTATCTTTTTCACAGTCATCTCGCAGACAGTAGTACTTCCCTGGGTGGTTTGCTGTCTACCAAATTACTACCTAAATAGAACTGAAATACCTAACTGTAAAATCAATAAGATTGAAAATCAAGACTATCCAATGGAATGTTTGGTTTTGCTCGCCCACAGGACTAGTTCTCTCAGGACAACCTACATGTTAATTCAGCCTCCCAACACTCCCTTTCACTTTCATATATCACTAATCATTAAATATTCCTTATAAAATGCAGTCATCAGAAGCAAATTTATAATACCGTCCTGCCAAGTGAGTGTAAAACAAAAGCCTGATAATTGGTTTTCAATGAGTAGATTACTGGTGTCTTTTTGTCTGTCCTCATAAACATGCAGTTTCCAGGTACGTCTTGCAACTTCTACTATACATTTTAGTCACACTACACATGTTGTACAAGCATATATATACCACACCCCTCTGGGTTTTCTTCTATTTACTTTCTAGTTGTCTTGTTCTTGTTTATATTCCTCTTATCTCCATGGGGACGTGGAACAGAATACTTCCTCCGTAAGCGATGCGTGTTCTAAAATGCTGGTTGCAAGGGTTAGTAACCCCCCTTCTTCCTTCCCGTATAAATTACTAAATATAAAAAGAAAACTTTCATTTCTTTTTTGGGCCCCCGCCCTGGCCTTGGTGGGCATACGCCGGTTTTGTGAAAGAAGAAAAGAAGAATATATATCTATATATATATATATATAATAATATAATATAACAAATTAGTATATATATATATAATATATATATATATATATATATATATATATATATATATATAATATAATTTTTTTTTTTTTTTATTTTTTTCAACCAAGTCGGCCTAACTCCCACACCGAGGCAGGTGACCAAAAAAGAAAGAAAATCCCCAAAAAGAAAATGACTTTCATCATCATTCAACATTTTTCACCACACTCGCACATTAACACTGTTTTTGCAGAGGTGCACAGAATACAACGACGAGACGCATACACATATAAAGATACACAACAATCCCTCCAAACTGCCAATATACCCCAAACCCCCTCCTTTAAATGCAGGCATTGTACTTCCCATTATTCCAGGACTCAAGTCCAACTATAAGAAAATAAAAACTAACTATAACCGGTTCCCTGAACTCCCTTCACTAAATATTACCCTTGCTCACACTGCCAACAGATCTCCAGGTCCCAAGTACCATTCGTCTCCCATTCACTCCTATCTAACATGCTCTGCCACGCTTGCTGAAGTCCAAGAGCCCCTTACAGTACCCCACCAAGAAAAAACCTCCTGTACCCGCACTCTCCAACCCATTCCGATGACGACCCCTACCCCGCCTTCCTTCCCCCTATAGAATTATATGCTTTCCCATGTCCATTCTAACTTTGATCCAGTCCTCTCTAAATGACCAACCACCTCAACAACCCCTCTTCTGCCTCTACCTAATACTTTTATAAACTACTCCACACCTTCTCCTTCATTTCCACACTCCGCAATTTTTCTGCATAATATTTACACCAACACCATTGCCCTAAACAGGACAAATCTCCACTGCCTACCAACGCGTCCCTCGCTGCTGCATTTACCACCCAAGCTTCACACCCATATAAGAGTGTTGTACTACTATACTTTCATACGATTCCCTTCTTTGGCCTCCATAGATAACGTTTTGACTCCAGCATATACCTCACGCACCACTCACCTTTTTTCCCTCATCAATTCTATGATTAACCTCATCCTTCATAAATCCATCCGCCGACACGTCAACTCCCAAGTATCTGAAAAACATTCACTTTCTTCCTTAACTCTCCTCCCAAATTTTTATATCCAATTTTTCTTATCTAAATCATTTGACACCCTCATCACCTAACGTCTTTTCTATGTTCACTTCAACTTTCTACCTTTACAACACACATATCCCCAAACTCATCCCACTAATCTGTCAATTTTTTCTTTAGAATCTCCCATAACACAGTATCATCAGCAAAAATTACAACTGTGTCAATCCCATTTTGAATTTGATTCCCCATACAAGAAAAGGGGGTTACTACCATTTTTCCCCCGCATTTTGTTGACTTAACACGCATGGCTTATGGAGGAAAGATTCTTATTCCACTTCCCCATGGATATAAAAGGAAAAGTAATAAGACCAAGAACTATTAAGATAAAATCAAAGAAAACTCAGATGAGTGTGTATAAATAAACATGATGAAATTAAGACACATGTGCAACATCTGGGTATCTATAAAGATACCCAGATGTTGCATATGTGTCTTAATTTCATCTTGTCGGTATTATATACCATTCTTGCACAACTTGTCAGACACTGCAACATCATGGAATCTTGATTCTGAGGACATGTACATAACCTTCACGACTACAACAACTACTACTACAACTAACCCATCTCTTTGGGAAGGACCTACTTCCACTGGGGAATCCCGCCTACCAGTGACCATGCCTTCGTCTGCTACACCTGACGTTACTATATAAGTGCCAGGCTCCTTGCTTCTGCTTCAGAATCTCCACGACTACGGTGCTCTTCGCACCTACTCCAAGGTTGAGGGACTGATTACCTCATCTTCTGTACATAGTCCTACTGTCTTCAAGTTATGTCCTAGAATTTGTATTGATAAAGCCACTGGATGGCGAAACGTCTACAATAAAGATACCCAGATGTTGCACATGTGTCTTAATTTCATCTTGTCGGTATTATATACCATTCTTGCACAACATAAATAAACATGTACATGTATGTGTAGTGTGACCTAAGTGTAAGTAGAAGTAGCAAGACATACCTGTAATCTTGCATATTTATGAGACATAAAAGACACCAACAATCCTACCATCATGTAAAACAATTACAGGCTTTTGTTTTACACTCGCTTGGCAGGACGGTAGTACCTCCCTGGGCAGTTGCTGTCTACCAACCTACTACATGCAGGAAATATAATATATAAAATAAATCAATTTAAATAATTGAATAAAATCCATATGCAAAATATAATATAATCCCTTTATAAATCTAATTTTATATACTATGATCAAATGCAATTCTTAAAAAAAAATAATGAAATTGGGCTATATGACTTTAAAAGGTTTAAACGAGGCTTTTAAAAATGCTTATTTTTTCTTTACTAATGAAAAATAAATGCTGACTCTTCAGGAGGTTCCTACAAGATTGTGAAGGACTTCTGATTCAAGGAATTAGAACAATTATTTCATTATTTCAAACCCAACTCAAGAATTGTGTTATTGCTACAGGTTTATTGCTGTACATGAATGTTCTAACAGTGTCCCGTAGCTTGATAGCTAGCGCACTGAGCTCACACACTGAGGTCCAGAGTTCGAATCCCCAGTACGGCTGGATAATATTAGGGAAGTGCTTCCATAAGACACCTGTCCATGTTTACCCACCAGTATAAAATGGGTACTTTGATCTTAATCGACTGGTGTTCATTGCCTCCTGGGACAAAATTGACCTAATTTGCCCGAAATGCTCTGTGTAACAAGAGGCTTTCTATAGTAGTACATGTATGTCTTTGATGTCAGCTAGGCCTGTATACCTTGTACCTTGAGTTTACCTACCTGGAGGGCATTCCGGGGATCAACGCCCCCATGGCCTAGTCCATGACCAGGCTTCCTGATGGATCAGGGCCTGATCAAAGAGGCTGTTACTGCTGGCTGCACGTAGTCCAATGTATGAACCACAGCCTGGCTGATCCGGCACTGGCTTTAGGTATCTGTCCAGCTCCCTCTTGAAGACAACCAGGGGTCTATTGGTAATGCCCCTTATGGCTGGAGGGATGCTGTTGAACAGTCTTGGGCCCTGGACACTTATTGTGCTTTCTCTTAGGGTACCAGTGGCACCCCTACTTTTCACTGGCGGTATGTTGCATTGCCTGCCAAGTCTTTTGTTTTCATAGGGAGTAATTTCTGTGTGCAGATTAAGAACCAGTTCCTCCAGAATCTTCCAGGTGTAGATTATGATACATCTCTCTCTTGCCTGTGCTCTAGTGAGTACAGGTCAAGTGCTTCTAGGCATTCCCAGTAGTTAAAGTGTTTGATGGAACTTATACGTGCAATAAAGGTTCTCTGTACATTCTCTAACTCTGCAATTTCACCTGCCTTGAATGGGGATGTTAATGTACAGCAGTATTCCAGCCTACAGAGAACAAGTGATTTAAAAAGGATCAGCATTGGCTTAGCATCTCTTGTCTTGAATGTTCTCATTATCCATCTTATCAGTTTCCTTGCAACTGTGATAGTGGCATTGTTGTGGTCCTTGAAGGTGAGATCTTCGGACATTACTACACCCAGGTCATTCACATTACTTTTACTACTATCACTACTACTACCGCTATCATCACTACTATTACTACTATCATCACCACCACTACTACTATCACCCTATTACTACTGCTACTATCAGTATTATTACTACTACTACTATCATCACTACTACTACAACTACTACTATCATTACTACTACAACTATCATTACTACTACTACTACTATCATCACTACCACTATTACTACTACTACTGTCATCACTACTATCTTCACTACTACTACTATCTTCACTACTACTTCTATCATCACTACTACTACTAGTCATTACTACTACTACTACTACTACTACTGTCATCACTACTATCTTCACTATTACTTCTATCATCACTACTACTTCTATCATAACTACTACTACTACTGTCATTACTACTACTCTACTACTGTCATTACTACTACTCTACTACTATCACCCTACCACTACTACTACTATACCCTACTACTACTACTACTACTATCACCCTACCACTACTACTATTATACCCTACTACTATCACCACCACCCACCACCACTATTACTACCACTGCCATTATTACTGTTGTTGTCTTACCTTGTCCCTATCGCCAAGTTTGACAGTTAGTCGAAGTTTGCCAGACTGGAGAGCAAGTTCCAGTTTATCAGAAGACTGAGCAGATGTGGTGGCCAGGAGGAGTCCCACTGGTCGATTAGTGCGGAACCTGAAGTTTATATCCTCTGCCTGTGTGCTGGACTCCTGGTCAGAGAACATCCTCACATACTGAGACCCATCGAAACTCAGGGTTGCTGCATCTGTATAGTGAAACAGTGAGGATAATAAGCTAACATGAAATATAATAGACATATAACAGACTTTGGAAATCTGAAACAATTAATAGACAAAGTCTATTCATGTAAATGAAATTGAAAAAGTGCAGATTAACTCCAGGTATGAATCTTACCTAACCTTCATAATACATGCTATCACGTTTTAGATGAAGTTTTATAATTATACTTACAAAAAAATCAGACTATATATGGGAACTTTATAAGAGAACTGACTGTAAATAAAAAGGAATAGCACAAAAAAAAGTCATATACATTAATAGATTTCATACTGTTGTATGCATACCCTCAAGTTATTCCATATAATCCTCAAAGCATTACTGAGTTTATAATGGGGTTCTTTCATATATTTTTTCAATATAAAGAACTAATAGAGGGGATTATCCTGGTATCCACTAACTCAGGATAATGCTTAAACTATAGAAGGCATTAAAGTTTCTATTGCACTATAGTAATACTACTGTACACACAACTTAGTTTTATTGCAATAAAGATTAAAAAATAAAGGAGTTACATATATACTTTATGAAGTGGTTTTTCCCAATTGTTTTAAAAATTTGTTATATCAATGTCCATTAATATAGAGTTTACTTTACCATGTGGGGGCTGTAAAAGAGGTCATCACACTGGACAAAGGTTTGGAACAGCTGGTCTAGAGCCTACCTTTGCCGCAGGTTGGACCCACAAACGCTGTGTGGGAACAGTCACAGATGAACCGTCCCCAGCCCTCCCTGCAGGTACCTCCATGCATACATGGTGAGGAAGAACAAGATCCTCCATCACTGTGGCAGAAAACTAACGATGGAACCTATAGCAGAGAAAATGGTATAAATTACAAAACAAAATTTTATTTTCTTCACAGAGATTACAGTGTGTGATTATTATTTTTATAAAATGCCAGAGTGTTTCAGGCATTTCAGGCCGACAAGGTTTTTGTTTTTTAACAAAATTAGATGTATCACTAGTATGCTGCTACCATATTCTATATGATACTTATGCAGTGGGAACAAAGGCAGATTGTAAGAGACAAATAGAGTATAATACTTTCCATGACTGATAATGTTGTCCCCACACAGTGGGCTTTATCAAATCCAAAAGTTTGTGATTTGATATACTGTACTTTGCCTGAAATACCTTGCATGCTAGTGGCTTTTTTTGTACCTCTCATTGTTTTATTACATGTAAACTGCATTATTTTGTACTGTGCTAAGAAATAAAATTGTATTTGTATGGCCCACTGTATGAATGAAATATCAGTAAAGGCTCAAAACCTGTAGGTACCGTAAAAAATCAGTTTCAAAGTCAAATTTTATTCAAAAAACAAAAGAAAACAAGGTGTTGATTTAACTCTGGGATTACATCTCTACATTTTTTTGACCCCTCAAGGGAGGTTCCTCAATAATGGTGAGGGGCTCTTGATCCAAGGAAGTGAACTATTCATCCATTACCTTGGATCAAATCTGCCTCCCATTACCCAAGTGCTGTATGACCCACTACGGGTTTAGCACTTTCTCCTACATTAGAAAGTATATTTTTTCGGTGACCATTGTTATGCAAAGTACTTTAGGAATATTCCCCAGATACTTTATGAATTAATAAAATCTTGGATGAACAAGTCATCGTCTCAATAAATGCTATAAATTACATTGTCTCTCATCAACATACTTGTTTGTGGAGTATATAATACCACTGATGTACTGTACATTGATGTATTTTACATTAATGTACTCCACACTGATGTACTGTACACCGATGTACTTTACATTATTGTACTCTACATTGATGTAGTGTACATAACTGTACTGTACACTGATATACTATATATTGATGTACTGTATAGTGATGTACTTCATACTGATGCTGTCAGTTTGCAAGCTTACCAGAATCCTGTTTTTTGGCATACGATGCAAGGTCTGCCGGCAGGCCCATTGATGACCAGGTCTCTCAGACAACCCACATAGCCCAGACCAAGTCTTCCTGTCCAGAGCTCAGGGGGCACCACCACACCTGTGTTTACCCCGCCTACGTAAAGTGCGCCATCAAGATCCAGGCGATGAGACTCTCCTGAGGGTGTAAGATAAGACGAGATGAGATTTGTTCAGATTTTTGTCCTGGAGGGTTAGCCAAGAAAGTCAGTAAGTCAATAAGGACTGTATATCTTATTTTCATTGGGGTCTTTCAAGTTTGTCCCCCAGAATGTAACCCACACCAACCCACTAACACCCAGATGTGTAAGTAGGTAAGTTTATTTAGGTACAGGTCCACATAAGTACAATTATCATACATAACACGTGTGTAAATTACCCATGAAAACCCAAAAGAGTCAGACAAGGTTACTTATTTACACTGGGGTTCTTCTAATATTTTGTGTGTGTGTAATATGATAAACAATCTACCAAGTCATATTATTAATATAAAAGAGTATGTATAACTCTGCTTGTGTAAATATGCTGAAATAATTCACTTTGACTCTTTTGGGGTTACCCAGGTAGTTTACACATATGCTACTATGATTGATAATTGTACTTATGTGGACCTGTATCTAAATACATTTATTTAATTTCTTATCTTGAATCTTCTTCCTGGGGAGGAGAATTAAAGAACCTCAATAGAAATAGGACTGACGGTCCATGATGCACGAACCAGACTGATTTATCCCAAGTTACTAACCCTAAAGTCAGTACCTGACCAGCTGAGCTGTGGTTTGTATGTTGTTTTGCATGAGACCAGCAGTAACAGCCTGGCTGATCAGACCCTGATCCACCGTGAGGCCTGGTCACAGACCGGACCACGGGAGTGTTTACCTCTGAAACCCTCTCCAGGTATACAGTAAGTCCTCGACTTAAACACACTGAGGACTTCCTGAATTGTGTAATAATATTCATAATATAGGAAGTCTTAAACTACAAACACGTTGGGGACCTGTATTGTGTATAATAATAAACAATAATGATATTATACACAGTAATGATTTTATACACAATACAGAAGATTCTCAGTATGTTTGTAAGTCGAGGACTTACTGTACTCAAGTCACACTTGCCAACATTCCATTACCCCGACGCTGTATGACACCCTTATAGATTTACACTGCAAAGAATACAATATAATTAATGTGTACCAGGTGTAGTGAAGTCATTAGCACCCTCGTCCACAGTGATCCTGCCTGCCTGGCCATCTCTGTTGAGAGTCACTTCATGCCACCAGCCATCATCCACCCTCCTATTGGTGGCTTTGACTCGTCGGATCCTGACCCAAGGTTTAGGTGCAAGTACAAGTGACCCTCCAGCAACTCCAATGCAAAGAAATCACCCTGGCAATGAAAATTTTTTAATTAGCAAATGCTTCAGAGCTAAGAAAATTGTTAATGTGAATGCTTCAAAGCTAAGGAAATTTATACATAAAATCAATAAATAAACAAAATATAGTAGTTAATTTCTGTAAAACCTACTGGTCATAGTGATAGGTGAGGACTAATAGGAAGCGCATCTGTCTTGCACTCAGCAGATGGAGGATCGAGCCTCCACCACTTCTTGCCCTGAATGACCCACATGAGTCTAGCACCAAACATAAACTAAACAGTTATTGTTCACTGTAATCTAAACATGAGTCTAGGTCTTTATTAGCTAAGTGCTCTTATAAAAGTCCTCTGTTTAGTGCAATTTTTTTTTTTTGTAAATGAGATTAAAAAAGTGCATGCAACACTGAATAGCATACTGAGAGGCTTTTATAGTATGTACTATTGTTGAGTAACATTTTGATTTGCTAAGTACAAAGAAAGCTACTATCATGCCAGAGCATTTTGGGCAGACTAAACCTAATGCTTAACAGACTACTCAACACTAGGCATATATATCATAGCTGGTTCGAAATGAACGTCATTTTCTTTTATATTTCAACAGAGGTAGTTAGTGGTTTAGCAGTAACTGATTTTATGATTGAGATGAGTTGATTAACAGGTTACAGTATTATATTTTGGTACATTTTACATAATGAGATTGAAACCGTTTTAATTTGAAATAATCTTAAAGGTAAGTACATGCATTTTTAGACCTAGCTCTATTGCTCACTTAAACCCCTTGACTGTCACAACCTCAAATCCTGAGGTGTCTCCTGGTGTCACAAAATCCCCCCCCCCCCCCCCCAAAAAAAAAAAAAAAATTATTTTTCTTACGAAATGATAGAGAATCTTTTTCTGATTGTAATGACACCAAAAAAAACAAAATTTGATGGAAAACTGATGGAATTACGCTCTCGTGAAGTTAGCAACCTCAGTGATATTTATGAATCGGTGATTTTGCCCACTTTGAGCCCTATTTTCGGATAATTCCATTGTTCCAGTCGACCAAACTCATAGCTATTTCTTTAGAATTCCATTTTTTCTATTGATTGAGTACAAGAAACTGACCATTTACCAATTTCAACTACCCAATAACGTGGTCAGAAATTTGCAATTTGGCCAATTTCACGAAAATTAAAAAAATGACAATTTCAAAATAGGGTCCAGAATGAACAATGAAGACATTCCTGGCTCTAAAATAACATTTTCTATGTTCATCAATCATGTCTCCAGGCCCCTCTGATATTACTCTTGCTTTCTATTCTGAATTTTTATTCAAACAAAAAAATAGATTTACTGTTATGCAGACTACTGCAATATTGTAATAATTGTATAAATAATGTCAACCCATTCATGAGTGCATATTAGAATGCCTACTTGGACATTTATTGGAAAATGACATCATTTGTTTACTTTTGAACATCGGCAAAAATCAAACATTTCCCCTACTTTGAGCTCCATTTCAAGGTTCTTTTCATAGTAAAACCGATCAAAATCACTTCTATTTTTATGATATGTTTTCCATTCTATCAAATGAGATCAAGAAAACGAGAATACAACCATAAATACTATACGAAAATAGACCACAAAGTCGGCATTTTAATAAAAAAAAATGGTCGGAGTTTTTTTTCTCATTATGCACTGCGTGCTGCAGGATTTTTTTATATGGTGCACACTGACCACACAATCCCATTCTCTCACATGTGGGCCTACCAGCTTTCTCCTGCTTGATCTGAAGCCACTAGAATTTGAGTATATATACGTCAAAAACGGTGGCTCGTAAGATGTATATATATGACCGAAACAGTCAAAGAGTTAATGTATGATAGTATAAACATGTTATCAGGGTTTTAAATGCATTTGAAAGTGAAAAAAAAAATTTTTTT